TCTTGATATCCATAAGATAACTTTCTGAGATTTTGATTGGGATTGCATCAAATCTACATCAATTAAGATGGGAAGAACTGATATCTTACTCTTGAGTCTTCCTATCCATGCCCATGGAATATTTCTCATTTATTTAGTTTTTCTTTGATTTCATTCATCAGGGTTTTATAGTTTTCTTTATATAGATCTTGTACATGTTTCCTTAGATTTATACCTAATATTTAATTTGGGGGTGGGGGAACTAATGTAAATTGTATTGTTTTTAATTTCAAATATCACTTATTTATTACTGATATATAGGAAAGCAACTGACTTTTGTACATTAGCTTTATACTCTGCAACCTTGTTATAATCACTAATGTGTTCCAGGAGCTTTTTGATCAGTTCTCTTAGATTTTCTACAAAGATGATCATGTCTTCTTTGAACAAATAAAGCATTATGTCTTCTATAATAACTGTTTTCCACTTGCCTTTTATTTCCTTGTCTTACTGCATCAGCAGCAATAGGTTTTGATGGTTCCCATCAAGTTGAGTTAAAACCTTAATGTTTTTCCAGATCACTCATGTGTAAATAGTAACACCTAGGAAAGAGGCTGTTGAAGAGTTTTCTTCTGTTGCAGAAGCCTGTTTTTGTTGGGCTCTCAAAGGAGATTATATCTTAGTGAGAACTTAGCCAACTCATAAAGAAGAGTCATAATCTCAGAATAATTTACACCCATTGTGTTCAATATCAATAAATATGCTAAATCTAAAAGTACTCCTGATTTCATTTTTAAGGAATCTGGAATAAGTTTATAGAGTCTTTAGTCTATCAGGAGAGTTTGTTTTTCACTCCTTGAATAAGTTATACCCTAGTAATTAATTGTGTTTTAGCAAAATTGTAATGTGTCTTGGAATATTATCTCTTTCTGCTCATATTGAAAGCAAGTAAATTGAATCCTTTAACAGGCTCACTTGTTTTCTGAACAAATTAGAGATCACTTACATATTGCATCAAGACCAAATGAAAATATAAATTTATCTTTTAAATTTTTATTTAAGACTTGGGAAAAATAGGAATGGACTTCAGTAAACCCTTTTGTATGATTGTCCAGTTATACTGTTGTACCCCTCCAAAGGTATTGACTGTTATGATTCAGAGGCACACTGAAAAGAGTAGAGGAAAGAATCACCAAAGTGAAGTGTTTAGTCTATGTCAGTGTGGTAAGTCAGAACCATCAGATCTGAATCCCACTCTGCATTGAGTTCCTCACTATTTCGTCTCAGTTCAATACCTCAGTTTGGTTATTGGTTACTATTTGTTTGTGATTGGTTCCTATTGTTGATGGAATCAGACCATTCCTTTTTATACACTTTTGCTCTCCTTTGTATTTCTGTTTTCTTTTGTGTTGTCTAACAGTGTTACTTGTCGTAAAAACAAGAATCACAGGGTAGAACATAGGTATAGGTCCTATCAACCTGTGGAGTTTGAGGTTTTCACTGGACTAGCATCCATTTGGACAAACTATGTTGTGGGTTACCAATAAAGCAAAATGAGATTCTCCTTCCATCTTGATTACTCGGTCTAAAGAACTTGGTTTTGATAGAACAATCTCTCTGGCTTTCCACTCACCAGGAGACACTTTTAGTCTGTGCTTTCAGAGGTTGGTTGACCATCAGGTTGAGTGCCCACAGTGACACTGACCCAACAAGCCAGAAGCAATAGAGCACAAGGGGCTGTTGTAGGGACTGCATCTGGTAAAAAGCTGGACTCCATCTCAATGGGCAGTACAGATCCTATCTTAATGGAACTTCCAGGAAAACTGTGGGAATAAACAAAGGCCACCCAAATTAGAACAAATACTATTCAGATTTTGTTAAATCAAGGGAGTCAGTCACCATTGCTTACAATTTGCAAAGACTCAAATGCAGGCAGGTGAGTGGGAAAGCTTTGTAGTGAAAATAAGGAAAGATTTCAGTATACCTAATAGGGGGTTATTGGCATGCAAAAGCTGTAGGTGGGCTAACTAGAAGGGAGGGAGACACCTTATGTGATTAGTTTGGGGAGTATATTTGGCTTTCTCCAGTTGGTCATGAGTTGGGAGTAGAAGTAAAAATTAGGGCAGCTGGCAGGCATTGACAAATCCTGACCCTTCTGGGCTGATAGAGGTTGATATTTGGCTTCTTGGACTGTTTGCTATAGAAGTTTGGAGTCAGACTACCATGATTATGTATGATCTGGCCATTGTCCATTTGTATAATCAGTCGTTCAACTAATTATAACCTCCATGTGTTTCCCTCATAACTTAAAAATCTTCAACATGTTAGTTTTCATATTTGTATGAATCATTTTACTTTTTTGGATAATTATCTTTTAATAGTGTACTTCCCAAAAGATAATTTCAATGACTCCCCAGGTTCAGTCAGGATCTTCTGTAATAAACACCCTATGTTTCTGTTTCAGGGCTTAAAAATCTTTGATAGCTTCCTCTGCCTATGGTGGAAAGCTGAAACACGTTATCCTATTATACAAAGGTTTTCTGTGATTAAACTGTTTCCTTTCTCTCCAGTGTCATTTTTTGACACATATTCATGCTTACTCACTCTATGACCAGGTGAATTATTTGCCAATACTCTTGGAATGCTTGCTACCTCCAAAATTTTATGCATGTTCAAATATTCCTTTTTCCTAGAATGTAGTCCTCCTCCTTCTACACAAGCAATCAATCTTACCTTAATTTTAAGAATAAAATTACTCTGACCTCTACTGCCAGCTAGAATTAACCATGTTCCAATTTGTAATATTTCACATGTAAATACATCTGCAAAGACAATCACCAGTTCAGAGCAGGTTCTCTTTTTCATATCTGCCTCTAACATCTCCTTAAAGGACCAAAGTCTGAGTCTTAGTAACTTCCAGTGTGAGGCACAGGGTAGAAATTGATTGATTGCTGAAGAAACAAATGAAGGGAGAAACTCTTGTTCTTAGTACCCCACATCATGGCAAGAATTAAATTAATTAGACATTTTTTCCTAAACACTGGCTAAAAATAATTGCACTAATAAAATAGAAAATTTTGTTTAAAGAAAGGTGCTAGAGAACCAGAGAAAAAATAATAAAGATTGGAAGGCGAGAGAGGAGTTTTGAAAGGGGAGTGAAATGTTAAATAAAAAGATGAAAGCAAAAACAAAACAAAACAGGTGTCTTGTACTTTACCATTTTAATAATATCCTAACCTTTTTATAGAATGAAAAAGGCATCTGTCTGTCTCTCCTATTATACTGGCTTGGGAACATTTCCTCTTCTGTATCCATATATCCTTCAAGATTGTCATCTCTGGGTCAGAAAACCTTTCAATAGAATTTATTTTATATTCTGTTTATGAGAATACTATCATTCAGTTCCATCGTATTTCTGGAAGTATCCAGACAAATGTCTCATCTCAAACATTACCTCCATTCTACCTAAATTTCACCTTTTTCTATAAGTGGATGAGCTATTTGCATGTCTTGTTTGCTTCTAATTTTTTTGAACAGCTCTTCTGTGTTATATTAGCTGGGTTTTTTTGTTTTTTTAACCAGGAAAGCCATTCAGCAGTTAACAGAGTAATCTTTTATCATGCCTTTAGTTCTGTGAATGGTTTTTAATCTTGTTAAAGTGCAGTGTGAATCAATATCTAGTATTGATTATGAGTTTGCATAGATGGGCTAGACAATGTTTAGAACTAGAGTTATGGTTAACATCCAATTTTTAGCATTCAGCAAAATACTGTTTTAACTGAAACTGATAAGGAAGTGGAATAATATCTATAAGTTTCAGCATATAATTAGCAAAGTATTTCATGAAGTAATAAATTTGATTATAGTCGTTAGTTTTAGTATCAGTCTTCCTTATGAAAAACTTTACCATAAACAGTAAAAAAACAAAAACAAAACCTCTTTAATTTTGCCAACTATTCCTTTTCATTTCACATAACCAACCTGAACTGTTGGCTCTTAGAAAAATATTTCAGATTCTTAGAAAAAAAGTTAAATAAAGTTAAATACAGCATGTAAACATACAGACCTAGCCACCAGATAGTAGTACACAGTGTAATAATTATCTCATTAGCAGGTCCATTTATTACGTGGGTGAGCTAAATCCCTTGATTATAAGTATCAGAAACCAACTTGAAAGCTTAAAAAGAAATATAGTAGTGTAGGCACACCTCTTGAAATTCAGTGTCAGACATTTAGATAGTCATAGGAAGAACTGAAAGTTGCAAACTGAAAAGCCATTAGGATCCCTGGAAATATAATCTCTGCCCCTCTCTACTCATTTCTGGGTTTCTATATATAGATTGACTTCCTATATTTGTTGTCTGCACAGCTAAATCTGGGTGCTAATGAATTCCAAGTTTACATGTCATGGGCTCAGGTACATGAAAATGCTTGATTCTATCTTGGTCCTGCTTCAACCAGGAGGGTTTTGGATTGGAGAAGGATAAGCCAGATACCTGTCCCTGGGCCTGTCAATCGTAACTGTTGGTTGTGGTCGCTGTGAACAAATAGGGCTGCTAGGAAACTGTGTTAAGTTTAAGGAGTGGTTAGAAGCTAGTTAAGGAAGATATTGGAGACATGGCAGACATTCCAAAAGGTGTGTAATACACTATCCCTCTCATGTAATTTCCGTACTTTTCAGCCTATCTAAAGACCTTCATGTTTTATTTTAGATGTTTTAATATTAACAGGATGTATGATAGAAGCTGACACATTTCATCCTTTTTCTTTTTTCTAACACCTTGGTTACAGCTGTTAGAAAAAAAGAGAAGAGGGGCGCCTGGGTGGCTCAGTCGTTAAGTGTCTGCGTTTGGCTCAGGTCATGATCCTAGGGTTCTGGGATTGGGCCCTGCATCAGGCTCCTCGCTCTGCAGGAAGCTTGCTTCTCCCTCTCCCACTCCCCCTGCTTGTGTTCCCTCTCTCGCTGTATCTATCTCTGTCAAATGAATAAATAAAATCTTAAAAAAAAAAAAAAAGAAGAATTAGGACATGTACAAGGGACTTCAACAAGTTCAGTATATCTGATGGGTGGGCAAGGGGGTGTGGGAATGAGTGTGTGTAGAAGAAAAGGACCTTTTGTGATGAGAGTCCTTTAAAAACCCTCTAATTCCTACTGTGAAGAAACAGCCTACTTCACTTACAGATAAGCCTCACTTTAATGGTATGTTCTTTGCTCATGGTCTTTTTTTCACCCCATTTAATGACTTTATCTAAGTCAAGACTGAGCTGAAGTTTCTGAGGATGAAAGACTCATTGAAGGTGTCATGCTTGTTTTAAGCTCACTGGGCACTCTCAGGCTTAGCATTCCTTAGGTAGTTTTGGAGTGCTCTAAGAACTTAGTTTGTGAATTTTGACTCTCCCCATATGAGCGCTGGGTAGATCTGATGTGAGCACAGGGTAGAGAGGACATGAAAGAAGTAGCAACACACCTGTTTACTTTCTGATCCTACTGTTTCTGAGGCTTAATTTATACTTCGCTTTTAGCAAATTGTACAAATGCAAATCCTGGGTACTGATTCTATCAAACTACTAGTCTGAGGTCACTGTGTTAATGGACCTACGTTCCCCTCCTTAACTGCTTTATCCTATGGCTTTTTACTTTGATAGGAAAAAAGCACACCAGCACTCCATATTCCAGGTTTGCCATATTTCTCAAATGGTAAATCTTTTCAAATTTTACAATAAACATTTTCAACGTAAAATGGCATACACATCTTTTACTGAATTTTTCTTTCACGCTACTAAAATGACAATACAGAAGTAGTTGTGTCCTATTTAATTGAAAGATTTGTGGTCAAGTCTGTATACCATAACTACAAATACAAAATCTATTCTGCTCTTAATATTTTTGTCTTAGAATTTGAGTGCTAAATGCCCCAACAAACTTGCATTGCTGCCAAGAAATGGCATTTCATTGTAATAAAACTTAGAACTTAATATTTTGATTCTGTACCTAGCCCCATGTCTTGCCATCTCCTGGCCAACAAAGTAGTTAGTTGTAATTTCATACATGACACTTACTCAAAAATATGTATTTAAGGGCAAACTCTTGTAAGTATAGCATTTTATGATGCAGTTTGTCCAAATGTATACCAAATTGGGAAATTCCAGTTTTCCACCAGAGGAAAGAACATTTTACAAATAAATTGAAAACCTATAACCCCAATTTCCACTTGAAAGTGATTATGATTTGCGTGTCATACTGCAGGAAGCAAGAAATTTACAATGTTAAGTTCACCTAGGAAACTGAACAATCAATAGGATAAATCTCAGAAAGAAGGCAGATAAATAGTTTAGACTCCAGGAACAAAACTCTGGATGTCAGATTAATTAACTGATATGTAAGTAAATAAATAACTCTAGAATATTTTTAGCTACATTAACTATTTTTTTATGAGTATCATATCTAAATGGATCAGAGATATCATAATTAATTTCAGGCCATCTACACTGTTCAATAAGTTCGGTGGTATACTTTAGCCAGATTCTTAAAAATTTTTTGTGTGTTCTTCAAAATAATTATGAAAAACTATGTGTCCCTTATACATTAGGTTAGAATGTAAAATTTTATCATATTTATTTATAAATGATAGGTTTCTGCAATACTGTAGATATTGACATCTTAGAATTTTCAATTTATTTTGTTAGAAAAATATTCAAATATATGCTAAACTCAAGAGAACAGTACAATAAATTATCCAGATTCAACAATTATTTGGATTTTACTTCATTTAACCCTATTTTTCTCCTTTTTGATGCATCATAAAACAAACCCCAGAAATCATACTCTATTTCAGTATGTGTTTCTAAATAACATACATTTTTCTATTATAACCATTATCCCACCTGACAAATTAAAGGTAAGTCCTTGGAATCATCTGATACTTTATACTCATATTTTCATTTCTCTAAATACATTTTTATATTTTTTTAATTTTTTCTTGTTATGTTAATCACCATACATTACATCATTAGTTTTAGATGTAGTGTTCCATGATTCATTGTTTGTGTATTACACCCAGTGCTCCATGCAGAACGTGCCCTCTTTAATACCCATCACCAGACAAACCCATCCTCCCATGCCCCTCCCCTCTAAAACCCTCAGTTTGTTTTTAAGAGTCCATCAACTCATAGTTCGTCTCCCCCTCCAATTTCCCCCCTTCATGCTTTCCCTCCTGCTATCTTCTTCTTTTTTTTTCTTAATATATATTGCATTATTTGTTTCAGAGGTACAGATCTGTGATCAACAGTCTTGCACAATTCACAGTGCTCACCATAGCACATACCCTCCCAAATGTCTATCACCCAGCCACCCTATCCCTTTCACCCCCCTCCAACTACAGCAACCCTCAGTTTGTTTCCTGAGATTAAGAATTCCTCATATCAGTGAGGTCATATGATACATGTCTTTCTCTGATTGACTTATTTCGCTCAGCATATCACCCTCCAGTTCCATCCACGTCGTTGCAAATGGCAAGATTTCATTCCTTTTGATGGCTGCATAATATTCCATTGTATATATATACCACATCTTCTTTATCCATTCATCTGTCAATTGACATCTTGGCTCTTTCCACAGTTTGGCTATTGTGGATATTCCAGCTATAAACATCGGGGTGCATGTACCCCTTTGGATTACTACGTTTGTATCTTTGGGGTAAATACCCAGTAGTGCAATTGCTGAGTCATAGGGTAGCTCTTTTTCAACTTTTTGAGGAACCTCCATACTGTTTTCCAGAGTGGCTGCACCAGCTTGCATTCCCACCAACAGTGTAGGAGGGTGCCCCTTTCTCCACATCCCCACCAACATCTGTCGTTTCCTGACTTGTTAATTTTAGCCATTCTCACTGGTGTGAGGTGTTATCTCATTGAGGTTTTGATTTGGATTTCCCTGATGCCGAGCAATGTTGAGCACATTTTCATGTGTCTGTTGGCCATTTGGATGTCTTCTTTGCAAAAATGTCTGTTCATGTCTTCTGCCCATTTCTTGATTGGATCATTTGTTCTTTGGGTGTTGAGTTTGATAAGTTCTTTATAGATTTTGGATACTAGCCCTTTATCTGATATGTCATTTGCAAATATCTTCTCCCATTCTGTTGGTTGTCTTTTGGTTTTGTTGACTGTTTCTTTTGCTGTACAAAAGCTTTTTATCTTAACGAGGTACCAATAGTTCATTTTTTCCCTTGCTTCCCTTGCCTTTGGTGGTGTTTCTAGGAAGAAGTTGCTGTGGCCGAAGAGGTTGCTGCCTCTGTTCTCCTTTAGGATTTTGTTGGACTCCTGTCTTATGCCTTTCAATCATTTGGAGTCTATTTTTCTGTTTGGTGTAAGGGAATGGTCCAGTTTCATTCTTCTGCATATGGCTGTCCAATTTTCCCAACACCATTTGTTGAAGAGACTGTCTTTTGTCCATTGGACATTCTTCCCTGCTTTGTCAAAGATTAGTTGACCATAGAGTTGAGGGTCCATTAGTTGACCATAGAGTTGAGGGTCCATTGAGGGCTTTCTGTTCTGTTCCATTGATCTATGTGTCTGTTTTTGTGCCAGTACCATACTGTCTTGATGACAGCTTTGTAATAGAGCTTGAAGTCTGGAATTGTGATGCTGCCAGCTTTGCTTTTCTTTTTCAACATTCCTCTGCTATGCGGGGTCTTTTCTGGTTCCATGCAAATTTTAGGATTATTTATTCCATTTCTTTGAAAAAAGGTGATGGTATTTTGATAGGGATTGCATTGAATGTGTAGATTGCTCTAGGTAGCATTGACATCTTCACAATATTTGTTCTTCCAATCCATGAGCATGGAACGTTTTTCCATTTCTTTGTGTCTCCCTCAATTTCTTTAAAGAGTATTTTATAGTTTTCTGAGGACAGATCCTTTGTCTCTTTGGTTAGATTTATTCCTAGGGATCTTATGGTTTTGGGTGAATTGTAAAGGGGATCGACTCCTTAATTTCTCTTTCTTCTGTCTTGTTGTTGGTGTATAGGAATGCCACTGATTTCTGTGCATTGATTTTCTATCCTGCCACTTGACTGAATTCCTGTATGAGTTCTAGCAGTTTTGGGTGGAGTCTTTGGGGTTTTCCACATAAAGTATCATATCATCTGCAAAGAGTGAGAGTTTGACTTCTTCTTTGCCGATTCAGATGCCTTTTATTTCTTTCTGTTGTCCGATTGCTGTGGCTAGGACTTCTAGTACTATGTTGAATAGCAGTGGTGATAGTGGACATCCCTGCCATGTTCCTGACCTTAGGCGGGAAGCTCTCAGTTTTTCCCCATTGAGAATGATATTCGCTATGGGTTTTTCATAGATGGCTTTTATACTTTGAGGTATATACCCTCAATCCCTATACTCTGAAGAGTTTATCAAGAAAGGATGCTGTACTTTGTCAAATGCTTTTTCTGCATCTATTGAGAGGATCATATGCTTCTTGTTCTTTCTTTTATTAATGTATTGTATCACATTGATTGATTTGTGGTTGTTGAACCAACCTTGCAGCCCAGGGATAAATCCCACTTGGTCGTGGTGAATAATCCTTTTAATGTACTGTTGGATCCTATTGGCTAGTATTTTGGTGAGAAATTTTGCATCCATGTTCATCAAGGATATTGATCTTAATTCTCTTTTTTGGTGGGATCTTTGGTTTTGGGATCAAGGTAATGGTGGCCTCATAAAACGAGTTTGGAAGTTTTCCTTCCATTTCTATTTTTTGGAACAGTTTCAGAAGAATAGGTATTAGTTCTTCTTGAAATGTTTGGTAGAATTCCCCTGGGAAGCCATCTGGCCCTGGCTCTTGTTTGTTGGGAGATTTTTGATGACTACTTCAATTTCCTTAGTAGTTATAGGTCTGTTCAGGTTTTCTATTTCTTCCTGATTCAGTTTTGGTAGTTGATACATCTCTAGGAATGCATCCATTTCTTCCAGATTATCTAATTAGCTGGCATATAGTTGCTCATAATATGTTCTTATAATTGTATTTCTTTGGTGTTGGTTGTGATCTCTCCTCTTTCATTCATGATTCTATTTATTTGGGTCATTTCTCTCTTCTTTTTGATAAGTCTGGCCAGGGCTTTATCAATCTTGTTAATTCGTTCAAAGAACCAGCTCCTAGTTTCATTGATCTATTCTACTGTTCATTTGGTTTCTTTTTCTTTTTTTAAGATTTTATTTATTTATTTGAGAGAGAGAGAATGAGAGACAGAGAGCATGAGAGGGAGGAGGGTCAGAGGGAGAAGCAGACTCCCTGCCGAGCAGGGAGCCCGATGCGGGACTCGATCCCGGGACTCCAGGATCATGACCTGAGCCGAAGGCAGTTGCTTAACCAACTGAGCCACCCAGGTGCCCATTCATTTGGTTTCTATTTCATTGATTCCTGCTCTGATCTTTACTATTTCTCTTCTCCAGCTGGGTTTAAGCTTTATTTGCTGTTTTTTCTCTAGCTCCTTTAGCTGTAGGATTACGTTGTGTATTTGAGACCTTTCTTGTTTCTTGAGAAAGGCTTGTATTGCTATATACTTTCCTCTTAGGACTGCCTTTGCTGTATCCCAAAGATTTTGAACAGTTGTGTTTTCATTTTCATCTGTTTCCATGAATTTTTTTAAATTGTTCTTTAATTTTCTGGTTGACCCATTCATTCTTTAGTAGGATGCTCTTTAGCCTCCATGTATTTGAGTTCTTTCCGACTTTCCTCTTGTGATTGAGTTCTAGTTTCAAAGCACTGTGGTCTGAAAATAGGCAGGGAATGATCCCAATCTTTTGGTACTGGTTGTGACCTGATTTGTGACCTAGGATGTGATCTATTCTGGAGAATGTTCCATGGGCACTAGAGAAGAATGTGTATTCCGTTGCTTTGGGATGGAATGTTCTGAATAGATCTGTGAAGTCCATTTGGTCCAGTGTGTCATTTAAAGTCTTTATTTCCTTGTTGATCTTTTGCTTAGATGATCTGTCCATTTCAGTGAGGGGGGTGTTAAAATCCCCCACTATTATTGTATTGTTGTCGATGTGTTTCTTTGCTTTTGTTATTAATTGGCTGCTCCCATGTTAGGGACATAGATATTTACAATTGTTAGATCTTTTTGTTGGATAGACCCTTTAAGTAGAATATAGTGTCCTTCCTCATCTTATTACAGTCTTTGGTTTAAACTCTAATTTGTCTGATATAAGGATTGCTACCCCAGCTTTCTTTTGGTGTCTATTAGCATGGTAAATGGTTTTCCACACCCTCACTTTCAATCTGGGAGTGTCTTTGGTTCTAAAATGAGTCTCTTGCACACAGCATATCGATGGGGTTTTTTTTTTAATCCAATCTGATACCATGTGTCTTTTGATTGGGGCATTTAGCCATTTACATTCAGGGTAACTATTGAAAGATATGAATTCAGTGACACTGTATTGCCTGTAAAGTGACTGTTACTGTATATTGTCTGTGTTCCTTTCTGGTCTATGTTGCTTTTAGGCTCTCTCTTTGCTTAGAGGACATCTTTTAATATTTCTTGTAGGGCTGGTTTCGTGATTGCAAATTTCTTTAGTTTTTGTTTGTCCTGGAAGCTTTTTATCTCTCCTCTATTTTCAATGACAGCCTAGCTGGACAGAGTATTCTTTGCTGCATATTTTTCTCATTTAGTGCTCTGAATATATCATGCCAGTCCTTTCTGGTTTGCCAGGTCTCTGTGGATAATGTTTCTACCATTGTAGGTTACATATCTCTTGTCCCGAGCTGCTTTCAGGATTTTCTCTTTGTCTCTGAGACTCATAAGTTTTACTATTAGATGTCGGGGTGTTGACCTATTTTTATTGATTTTGAGAGGGTTTTTCTGTGCCTCCTGGATTTTGTTGTCGGTTTCCTTCCCCAAATTAGGGATGTTCTCTGCTATAATTTGCTCCAATATACCTCTGCCCCTCTCTCTCTTTCTTCTTCTTCTGGGATCCCAATTATTCTAATGTTGTTTCATCTTATGGTATCGCTTATCTCTTGAATTCTGCCCTTGTGATCCAGTAGTTGTTTCTCTTTTTCTCAGCTTCTTTATTTTCCATCACTTGGTCTTCTATATCACTGATTCTCTCTTCTGCCTCATTTATCCTAGCAATTAGCTCCCCCATTTTTTATTGTACCTCATTAAAAGCCCTTTTGATTTTGACTTGGTTAGATTTTAGTTCTTTTATTTCTCCAGAAAGGGTTTCTCTAATAACTTCCATGCCTTTATCAAGCCCAGCTAGTATCTTTAAAATCATGATTCTGAACTCTAGATCCAACATCGTACTAATGTCTGTATTGATAAGGTCCCTGGCAGTCAGTACTACCTCTTGTTCTTTTTGTTGAGGTGATTTTTTCCATCTTGTCATTTTGTCCAGAGGAGAATAGATGAGAGAACAAAATGCTAACAGGGTAAAAACGTCCTCAGAAAAGACCTGAAGCTGGGGGAAAAGAAAGGGAAAGAAAGAAAAAAAAAAAGCTAAAGACAAACAAAAACAGAACAACAACAAAAAAACAGAATATGATCAGGCTGGTGCATAGATCAGTGCCACACACTAGATTTTGGGTGTATTTTGGTCTGTTAGAAGAAAGTGCCTCCCAAAATTTTAAAGAAAGAAAAACACATATAAATAGGGTTGACATGATGAAGGGATGTGATATGACTGTAAAGATGAAAATTATAAAAAATTTTATAAAGAATTGATATGAAGTTCTTTGAAAAAAGAAAGGATTTTAGAAAAAGAAAAAAAAAAGGAGAGAATGTGATCAGGCAGGAGACTAGAACAAAGCCACACACTAGAGATTTAGGGTATATTTTTGATCTGTTAGAAGAAACTATCTCAAAATTTTAAAGAGAACAACTTATATATATATGCCAAAAATAAGAGTAAATACTATGAAGGGATAGAATATGACTCTAAAAATGAAAAATAAAAATGTTTTTTAAAAAAGGGATTGATAAGATATTGGTTGAAAAAGGGAAAAAAAAATTTTAAAAAGTTTAAAAAAATTAAATTTGAAAGACTGAAGAATCATGGTAAAAAAGCCATGGATTCTATGTGCAGTATTCCCCTAGCGCTGGAGGTCTGCCATTCTCATTGATTGGTAAACTTGGTCTTGGCTGGCTGTTCTTGCTGATCTTCTGGAGGAGGGGCCTGTTGCTGTAGTTTCCAAATGTCTTTGCCAGAGGCACAATTGCCCCACCCTTGCCATGGGCAGGGCTAAGTAATCTGCTTGGGTTTGCTCTCAGGAGCTTTTGTTCCCTGCAAGCTTTCTGCACAGCTTTGGAGGAGGAGAGTGAAAATGGCAGCCTCCCAATCTTCACCCCAGAGGAACCAAGAACTCGGGGCCCCACTCCTCAGTGCGCCCCCAGAGAAAAGCAGTCAATCACTCCCATCTTCTCAGTCTCTGGCCACACTCTGTGCTCACCCGGCCTGTGACTGAGCGTTTCTATCTCTGGCACCCGACCCCGTGTGGAGTCTCCAAACCCAGCAGATCCCTGCAGTGCACTCCTGCACTGCTCCTCTCAGGGGAGGAAGGGGAGTCTCCCGGATCTGTTGCTTGTTGGGTCCCTGCTGGAGGAGCAGTGGCCCGACTGTGCCACGGATCACAGTTTATGGCCACCCCAAGCTGAGAGCCCACTCCTCAGCTCCATCTCTGCAGCCGGCTTCCCTGCTCCAATACCTGAGAGCTCTGCTGCACTGAGGCACCCCCGGTCTTTCTGTGACACCAAGGGTCCTGAGACCACACTGTCCCATGAGGGGTCCACCCCCACTTAGCCACTGGAGCAACATCCCTCAGTGGGGCCAACTTCTAAAAGTTCTGATTTTGTGCTCCATGGCTCTATCACTTGCCAGAAGCGGCCAACAGAGGCCCCCTCCCCTGCCATCTATCCTCCCGAATATCACCTCAGATTCACTTCTCTGCATGTCCTACCTTCCAGAAAGTGGTCACTTTTCTGTTCAGAGAGTTGCTATTCTTTTCTTCAATCTCCTGTTGAGTTCGTAGGTGTTCAGAATGGTTTGATCCCTATCCAGCTGAATTCCTGAGCCCAAACGAAATCCAGGTCTCCTTCTCCTCCACCATCTTGCTCCGCCCCCTAAATACATTTTTAAAGTTATTTAAACAAGATTTCCCCCTAGAATCCACACATCCTATTGGTGTTATAGCTCTGAAATCTTTTTAATTATAGATGTTCCTCTTTTCATTTTTTGTGCTACCAATTCTTTACAGAAACAATCAGTTACCCTCTAGAATGATCCACATTCTCTATTTGTCAGTTTCCTTCTTTGAAGTATTATTTAGCTTATTCTTCTATCCCCTATATTTCCTATAAATTTAAGCATGATCTAGGCTAAAATCATGGAAAAGTATTTTGGCAAGCATGCTGCAAAAGGTGTGTGAAGTACTTTACAGAGCATATTATTGGAAGGGCAAAGGGTGATTTTACCCTTTTTTTTTATTTATATTTTATTATGTTATGTTAATCACCATACATTACATCATTAGTTTTTGATATAGTGTTCAATGATTCATTGTTTGCGTATAACACCCAGTGCTCCATTCAGTACATGCCCTCTTTAATACCCATCACTAGGCTAACCCATCTCCCCACCCCCTCCCCTCTAGAACCCTCAGTTTGTTTCTCAGAGTCCATAGTCTCTCATGGTTCGTCTCCCCCTCCGATTCCCCCCTTTCCTTTTTACCTTCCTGCTATCTTTTATTTAAAACATATAATGTATTATTTGTTTCAGAGGTACAGGTCTGTGATTCGACAGTCTTACACAATTCACAGTGCTCACCATAGCACATACCCTCCCCAATGTCTATCACCCAGCCACTCCATCCCTCCCATCACCCACCCCTCCAGCAATCCTCAGTTTGTTTCCTGAGATTAAGAATTCCTCATATCAGTGAGATCATATGATACATGTCTTTCTCTGATTGACTTATTTTGCTCAGCATAATACCCTTTAGTTCCATCCACGTTGTTGCAAATAGCAAGATTTCATTCCTTTTGATGGCTGCATAATATTCCATTGTATATATATACCACATCTTCTTTCTCCATCCATCTGTTGTTGGACATCTTGTTTTTTTCCACAGTTTGGCTATTGTGGACATTGCTGCTATAAACACCGGGGTGCACGTACCTCTTCGGATCACTACATTGTATCTTTTGGATAAATACCCAGATTTCACCCCTTTTAGAGGTACAAAGATTTCTGTGGGTTTAATAATGACAGTTGGTCTCCTCCACTATGAAGTCTGCTATCATTCTGTCCTTTACAGTTTCACCCATTGATGATCATTATCTTTAAAAAATTGTGTAACTAATATTAAATTGATTAAAACAAAATTATAAACTTTGATAAAAACAATTATGTAAAAAAAACATTGCAAATGCACATTTAAAGATATAGAGGAGACAAGTTTTGGTGACTTGATTAAAAACATGGTGAAACTTTCAGATTATGTGCAACCTCAGGAGACAATGCACTCTAAGTTTTGAGATGGTTAGATTCATTCTTTTTTTAAGATTTTATTTATTAGAGAGAGAGAGAGAGAGCATGAATGGGGAGAGGGGCAGAGGGAGAGGGCCAAGGAGATTCCCTGTTGAGCAGCAAGCCTGATGTGCAGGGCTCCATCCCAGGACCCTGAGATCATGACCTGAGCTGAAGTCAGACACTTTATACCACCCGAACCACCCAGGAACCCTCCATGTCTGTCTTTTTGAATGAGAAGAGAAATTGTGGAAGGACAGAAAGGAAAAGCATTAAGCTTTTCCTCACAGGTTCTTGGCTTCTCAGACAGAGCAGTAGTAAAAAAGACTTTCTTATTCCCTCAAAACTCCCCATACATCATGTAAAGGGTATGCAAAATGCTGTTTTAATTTTGTTGACCTAAGTCACAAACGTTGGTATAGAATAAGAATTGATAGACATAAGAAGATTTGTAAGGCAACATTGTTAATTGTGAACAAGAAAATGTAGCATGAATGAAAATATCTTATGTCTAAGCCATTTTTAAACAATCTTGACATCCCTCTTTCCAGAGGTCTTTTAATGCTGTTTTCTTTTTTTCCCTTTTGTCACATTATTTTAAAATATAGGGATCCTACAATATGAAAAGCCAAGAATTAATATTTATGTATTTCCCTTATTATTTTTATAGGAAGACTAAGGCAGAAAAGGGTAAGAGGTCAGAGTTTCAGAGAGGAGATAAAAAATATCTGCTTTTTACTTTTAGATTATACATTTGGATTAAGACTGCCCAATTTAGTTGCCTTGGCACATCTGGAACAAACTGATTTTGTCCCTAATTCCTTGAGTTCCACAAATTCATTGAAACACAGGACTTAATTTATACTGGATCAAGTCAATACCAGATTTTTTTTTTTTTTTATGAAGCAGCCTAAAAAGGCAATGATTGGTCCTTCTGCCCCTCTTTCCCTCTATTGTTCCCGCTCTCTTCCAGAACTTAGGCTTCCAAAAGGTCATTCTCCATTGATTACAGGGTTCTCCAGAGAAATAGAATTATGAAGATATATATAAAGGGATTTATTATAAGAAATTGGTTCACAACTATGGAAGCTGAGAAGTCCCAATATCTGTAGTTTGAGGGTCTGAAAACCAGGAGTCCAATATTCCAGCTCAAGACCATTAGGCAGAGAGCAACACTCTCTTGCTCAAATTTTGTTCCACTTAAGCCTTCACTGGATTGGAGGAAGCCCTCCCATTTGGGGAAGACAATCTGCTTTGTTCAGTCTATCAATTCAAATGTTAATTGCTCCAGAAACACCCTCATAGACACATCCCGAACAATGTTTTTATATCAGAGCACCACGTGACTCAGTCAAGCTAATGCATAAAATTAATCAAATGTAAAGTCTCTTGTGTTCTAGCAAGAAAAGACTGAGGAGGGGTTGCATCCCCAAACAAAATAACAAAACCTGCTTAACTAAGGTAGTCCTTAAATAAACAACTGCTTTTTTTTTTTTTTTTAAGATTTTATTTATTTATTCGTGAGAGAGAGAGAGACAGAGGCAGAGGGAGAAGCAGGCTCCCCGCGGAGCAGGGAGCCCAATGCTGGACTTGATCCCAGTACCCTGGGATCATGACCTGAGCCAAAGGCAGACGCTTAACCAACTGAGCCACCCAGGTGTCCCTAAACAACTGCTTTGATGTCAAAGTGGTTGTCAGTTATTTCATTCTAAAAGATAAAGGAGGTTTTAACTCACTTCTTAGAATACAGCAGCTTGGGTTGAAGCATTTCAAGAGGGTTTCATGGAAGAAGGGGCTTAAACAAGCCTTGAAATGAGTGAGGATTGAATCAATAGAGAAATGCACAAATCCTGCCTTACGATTGTATTGTGTCAGGATCAGATCACATGTTAACAAATGGCCTCAGCAAACAACACAATATACCCATGAATATTTTGTATTCCCAGTTCTCAGATTTGGTCTCTGGGAGAAAATTAGTTCATATTTACTGTCATATCTTTTTCATCAATTGCCTAGAGCTCCTTCAAAGAAATGTACTATGGAAATAGAAATAATTTCTATTCTGCCTCCCTCACAAGTTTATCCATTTCTTTTTCTATTCAGCTTGTCATAGGATTTGTCAAACTAAGGTTTAGCTTAAGTTCTTGAGCTGTGGCTAGAGTTTTAAGAATAATACATTAGGTGAGACTGTTCAAATAGTGAAACTGCTGTGTGGTTTTTTGTTTTTTTTTTTCTTCTTCCCTTCCCTTTCCTTGACTTTCAGTCATATGAATCCATCAGGAGAATAATTTTCAGTAGGAAATGGACCTATCTGGGAACATAGAATGTGTTGGCTATCTGATAAACCCTTGAGTTATCTGTTTTAATATACATGTTTCAGATAAAAACCTTTTAGCTATATCTCAGTTTCTCAAGGTTTCTCATGTCAAGCATCAGAAGTCATAAATGTAAGTCTCTGTAGATGCCACCTTTCATTATATCAAACTACAGGCATACCTCTTTTTATTGCACTTCACTTTTTTTCTAACCAACTTTGAATCAATTTTGGGGGGTTTTGTTTTAATTATTTTTGCTCTTGAAATCTAAGCAATTGCATTTATAAGGATTTGTATTAAAAATTGAAAAAATCTTGCTCATATAAACCAATTTAATAATGGATGTGCAAAATATCCTATGCAAAATAAATGAACAATATTTGCTTTGGTGTATATTACTAAGAAAAAAAAGGTTAGAAATAAATTAGAAAAGGAGACCTAAAACCGAATTTTTAACACTCAGAAAACAGGTTGAATTTGAACGCAGAATTTTAAGAACTCACCAACCTAGCTTTTGATAAACTCATTAGGAATATTCACAAACTCTCTAGATTACCCTTACCAGGGTTTCATTTTCTCAGGAAATAATTTTGAAAAAGAAATCATAGGTTTTTGTTTCATCTTGTCATCTCCACCTTCCATGAATATTGAGAACTAGTAAGGCACAGCTAAAACTAACTGAAAAATATGGTACTAACTGGTCATCTCTATACTTGGCCCAGTGGTTCTCAACTGGTAGAATAAATAAATACAGATGTTTTGGTAAGTAGTTCCTAGAGTCTATATTTCTTTTTAGTCATTTCTGTCATCTTGGTTTACTGTATTTGTGAATCATACTGCAGAGAGTACAGACTTTGGGGGAAACCAGAATGTATTCAAATTCCTAATTGTTCAATTTTTGCATTGCCTTATCTGGGGGAAACTTACCTAACCTTTATTCACCTCAGTTTATTCTAGTGATGCAGGTTAGTTAAGGCCTGGGTACATTGTTTAAAATTCATGCTGCACTGTGCCCCTTAACCACCAATTCTTTCACACACTTTTTATACTTCACAACAGTCATATTTCTCTTCAAAGTAGTTTACATTCATGTACCCATTTTGATTACCTAATGCATTTCATTTATTGTTCAATTATTTCAAAAACATTTTTTGGTCTCCTACTATGTGCCAGACAGTGCCAAATCCTGAGAATACAAAAGGAACGAGGTACAACCCCTGCTCTCAAGCAGTTTACAGTATATTAGGGAAGAGTAGAAGAAAAAAAGATTCTAATAGATA